TACACAATATTAAACAGCTACATTGATTTTTATGTTATTGATAATATAATTTTACTTGTACAATGCTTGAGAATTCAATTTCAATAAAAACATTACAGAATGCTTTCATATATTGTTAAATTTACCATTCATAGAATTTTTCTTATTATTATTTGGCTGCTGGGCAATAAAAAAAAGCTAAGAAATAGCTGTATTGGCAGTTCGTGCTTTCTTTGCAGCAATAATATAAAATTGACGGTACATCGGGAGAAATGTAATTACTAAGAAGCTGGTTTTTCTCACTGTGTGTTGTTGTGTAGTTGATGGAAATTTATTATGTTCGATTATTTTGTCAATTTAAATGAAAATGGAGAACGCCTACATTTATTTCTAAATTTAACATTAATAGTGTTTTTCTTATTATCCCCTCTTTGTCAGTAAGGAGTAAACGTAGTCAAGAAGTACCTGTATTGGCAGTTCGTGCTTTCTTCGCAGCAATAATATGAAATTGATGGTACGTCTGGAGAAAATGTAATTACTGAGATGCTGGATTTTCTCCAAGCTTCCTCACTATATTGTTGTGTAGTTGATGGAAATTCATTATATTCGATTGTGTTGTTCGATGCAAGATCGTTGAAAACAGCTTGACGTGCCGCCAGTCGACCGTGTAGTACGAATCTCGTCGATTTCATGCATGACTTTGACGCTTTGAGTTTGATTGAAAGTGCTTGGGAAATTTTAATATACTCCTATAGTATAATACTGATATCGTTATATCCCAATAAACCTGATTTATAAGTCTACGGAGCGTGCCGCTGAAAAAATATGTTCCAAGCTCATATGAGAAAAGTTTCGTTGTACGAGTCTTTGATTAGGCCGTTTTTGGCGAACGAGAAAATCACTTCGGAAAACTTGTAAACATAACTGTACGAAGCAATATCATGGCCCACCTACACAAGGTGGTAAAATATATAATTCGGCCACTGAATGATAGGAGTTCGTGCTTTTTCCAAATAGTTTCTCAGATATTGAAACTTATATGAAAATCATTTTGAGTATAGGAGCTAGGGGATAGATAGATTTAAATTAATATATCTTGAAATCCACTAAAGATTTACTGTAACAATTACTCTACCGAATCAAGTAAACATATATTTTCAAATGTTGTTTATTATTTCACAGTCAATCAATTTCTAAAAAAAGTGAGCTACAATGATACTTGTTCTTTATACATAAATTACATGAACTCAATAGAACCCAGGGTAACATTTTGTCTTAATGTAGTTATATACAAATTTTTCAATTACTTAATTATTCTAGATTTTTCAGTATACCATTGATTACCAATAATATAACATAAGCAATAATTACGTAATATGTATATATTTTGAATGCTAACTTTGATAGATGAATACAATGGCAATTTATCTAATATCATAATAATCAACTATTGGTTTCAATAATCAATTTCAATGATTACATAAAATGCATTTTGTAATTCTGCTCAAATTCTACCGCAAAATTGATTTCACAAAGAGGGCTGATATTTTTAAACAAAGATATATTTTTCCCACTTTTCACAACATGTGTGTCTATGATAGTTTTACCAAAAGGTGCTTCATAAAAAATATGACATTGCATGAAAAATCGTCAACATTTTTATGACAGCGATACGCCTCATTTTTGTTAGAATTTTCAAATTGCGTTTTATTTTCAGCCATTACGATAACGCGCACAAAACAAATGATCGTACGTGATATTTGGGCTTCCGCGAAAAAAACATATGTCATGATCCAGAACATATATGACTTGAGATTCGGAGTAAATTTATTGAGAGATTTATATCTGCCAGAAACACTTGACAAATTATGAACTTGTATGAATAATAAGACAAAATATTTCATGGTATGTTCTCTGCAATTGCACTATTTCACAACTATTGAAATTAAAGAAAGATAAACTTAAATATCTATCGAGGAAGAAGCCAGTGTAGAGAATTTCAATAATTAAATATTTGATGTAGTAGATTGTAAATAAAAATTATCTTGTCACCATAAAAAATGAATGAAAAAAAAACTATGCGATATAAATATATATATATATATATATATATATTTACCTTCAATTTACTCTCTTGGACTCTCCAAACTTATAATATAGCACAAATTATAAAGTACTCAAACGATCTCGGGTTAAATACAAAGTGGCCTGGTCAAATCTTGACCAATTACAAGAAATGATTCTCATAAGTGTTGTGTGCATGAGTTTATCAAAATCTGAAAATTATTATTTCCCGTAGGGAAAAAAATTGAAAATTGAAAATTTTTGCATATCTTTACTTTTCAAAGATTTTTAAACAAAGATTATGAACATTTTCGGCATATCGTAGAAAAATGTGTGTATATTGGATACATTTTTTTTCACGATTTCAAAAGCACGAATCAACAGATTTGGGTTATTCAAAAACCATTCGATTCGTATTGACGGGAAAAAGTCCTGATAAGTTTTTGGCTAATACAGGTCCAGCCGTTCTGGAGAATTTATTTATTTATTTATTTTGTGAGAAATCAAGCAAGCTTGAAACGGAGACAGAAACAAAATCACTTGTCATTTTCATATCATGAAATTTTATAATCAATAAATTTTATATATTTTTATACAAATGGAATTCATATTTTTATATACATAACTATTTCCATAATTTATTTATTTATCTATTTACTTTTTACTTTGTTATTAGACGCTCATCGGCTATATACAGTCAATTATAATTCATTAATAATTATAGTAATGTAATGTATCATTAGATCCGATTAGAATGATTAAAAATAAACGATCAATCGATTCGTATTGATTGAATGAATAAATGGTAACATTTTTGTGAAGGCAAGTTTAGCAGTTTCAGAAATGCAAAATAAAAAATACAAAGACGCAGCCGATTAGAGTGATTCAAAAAGCATATTGCTTGTGTCGACGGTTTTTATTTTGTTTTTTTTCTTGCAGATAATTATAAATATAAGTCGTAATACAAATAAAAACACTTACAACAGATTTATAATATACGATGATCAAATTTACAGTATTTCAAGAGTTATTTTAAGATATTTAAAACAATTGTTATTACTCATTCATGAATTTTTATTGATGTTTTATTATTTCTATTTGGCGAATGTTTGCTTACTATACGGGTAGTTCCAGCAATTTGCCTTAAAGCACAATGCCATGACCACTAGTTAACTTCCCGTAGGGCAAGTTATAGTAATCGCAAAAAAATCTTAAATGAAAATTTTTATATATCTTTACGTTTCAAAACCTTCTGAACATTTTGGCATACCTTAAAAAAAATGGATGTGTGTGTATGTGCGTGTGCGCGTGTATGTGTGTGTTCGGATACAAATTTTCGTCGACGATTTCGGGAACACGGATGAAGCGATTTGAATAATTCAAAAAACATTCGATTCGTATTGAGAAGAAGACGTGCTGTATAGTTTTTGGCGAAGGCAGGTATTTGAATAATTCAAAAAAACATTTTATTTGTATTGACTAAATGAAAAACTGTTTAAATTTTTGGAAAGGCAGGTGCAACGACTTCGGAGATATGGAGGAAAAAGTAGAAAAATGAGCCATTTGACGGTCAAAAATGATCATTAGACATATGCACATCAAATTATCAAATATTTTATAGAGATTTGAACAATAACTATAAATTTTGTTTACAATCCTGTGGGTTACGTACAAATGTTTATCCGTTAGACGGCGACGCGGCGCTAAGCGCTTCGATATTGCATCTCTATGCAGCTAAAGCAATGCGATTGCTTTGATAAAAAGTTCAAAATTTCCAAAATATTTCAAACTAAAAAAAATTTTTTTCAAATTTTTTTTTGTTTTTAAAAAAAATTTTTTTTTTGAACAAAAAGTAATTTTTTGTCAAATTTATAGTTTCTCAAAAATCTAATTTTTTCAAAGTAAATTTTTTTCAAAAATGTTAACGCCTCATTCCCCAACCCTGGTCTAATAATTATATTTTATTATCTCCATGCAGGATAGCGACAATAAACCCTCATCCATCCCTTTCATTGTTACGCGTCCTGTCGCAAAATCAGTAATCCATTTTTCCTAGAATTTTTATCACCTGTCCCTAACTAGATCATCCTTATAATTCCAAGAAATTCGCACTACCTGTGTCCAGTTTAAATTCTTTGTATCATGCAATTTATCAACCAATACCTGATCGGTTGATAAATGTAATAACCACTGATTGGTTCCAAAATTGTAATGGGGTGTCCTTAACTCCACAAAATGGGCCAATCAGAAAAATATATAAAATTATAAAATCTACATAATTAAGTATCAACTTAAATTTCATATAGCTAAGATGAGTCGTAAATTAACACTCAAATCTAAATCATCTAATTCAAACCTCAACTATCTAATCATCTATAAGTCTTAATATTTCAAATACACAATAATCAAACAGTTATTCAACATCTTTTATTTTTATTAAAACGGTCTGATATAGCCAACAGCTAAGTATATCTGGTCCTTCGGCAAAGTGCAAGTGTTCAATAGAGTTCGGCAGCATCCAGATAGATCACGAACTTCTTAAACACTTTGAACCTATCTCAACAAATACTTTTTTGGCCATTCAAACCGAATGGTCATTTTAATAAACAAAAAATGTTAATCGTGTTTAAAAAAATAATAATTTTTAGTACGGGAAGTTCCAGCAATTTGCCTTAAGGCACGATGCCATGCGTTCCACTAGTTTGGAATAAAAATCACATCCATTGATAGGATAGTGTAGTAATAGAAAGCCTTTTAGATAGAAAGACCATCAACAAAGTCTCCAGAATAAGTGACTACTATCACGCATGCTGAATGTCAATTCACGTCTCTATAAACATCATAACTTCATCACTTTTATCGAGTTTCCGAAAGAGTTCCAAATTTTCTTGTCCGTAAGCACATTCAAAACAAACTTTGTATATGTACTTTATCCTATTACTTATTCACCTGTCGCGCTACGCCGTGATGTAGTACTCGCGTCGTTTGCGGCATTTCTCCCGGGCTATGTAGCAGAGCGCCATGCTGATGAGCACGGCTATCGTGATTCCCATGCCTATGCTCACCCAGATGATCTCCTCGTTGAAGCCGGAACCGGAACGACCTAAGGAATAAACGATGAGAATTTTTATGTCAAGTGCTCGTTCGGAGACGTACCAGGACGGATTTATAGCAGTAACCGACTTCCCGTAGAAGCTTTGTTGTTGGACGCATGATTTGAGTTCAAGAATTTTGAATAAATTTCATTATAGAATCAACCCGAAAAACAAAAACGCAAATTTCTCCAGATTATAATTGTTATATGTGTAATATGAATAAAGCTTGAATGATCTAGCGCTACATCATCAAAATAATGATCATAATTAGAACTTGAAAATATAGATGAAAAATGTTTCCATTTAAAAATAAGCTCATCTCGGGCACCGCGGTATTAATTGGCAATGGAAAATTTCTCACACTATTCTTTCCTTAATCGAGTTGGGGTTTAATTCATTGTCAACTCACGAATCTGTCCTAGGGCAGTACTACCTGCAATTAATTACATATTTATATATATATACATATATATATATATATATATTATGGTAGAGCGAGGAATATAAATCACCATCACCATCAAATTCAAAAACAAGTATGAGTTATTTAACAATATTTGAAAGTAGAAGGTAAAAAGTCTTCAGCCATCGCCTCAATCAAACATCGTCGACATTAGGAGATAAAATGTTTGATCATTTATAACAAAAGTATTTTTCTTTGTTATGAACTGAGCACTGTTGTTAAATTTTCTAATATAATTCCAATGTATACGTTATTTAATTGTTTTTTTATAAGATATGTATCATTATTAACTCTTTGCAGGGTAAGTTATAGTAATGGGCCGAAAATCGAAAATGAAAATTTTTGCATATCTTCACGTTTCAGAGGCCTCTGAATATTTTGGCATACCTCAGAAAAATGGATGTGTGTGTGCGCGCTAATCAACCGATTTGAATGGTTCAAAAATGTTTGATTCTTATTGGGGGATGTGTTGCTTAGTTTTTGGCAAAGGCAGGTCCAGTCTTTTCAAAGATACAGAGCCATATGTACAAAAAATGGCAGTTTTTGAGAGAACTAAGCATCCGATTTGAATGATTCAAAATACTTTCTGCTTGTGTTGATTAAACAATTGCTTTTTTTTCAAAAAAATATTTTAAAATTATTACTTTTTCTTTTTCTTATATCAAAAATAATTCAGATTTTGATTTTAATTCTGGCAAAATTTCTAAATCTTACTCATATATTTTAAATAATATAATTTTAACTCTGCTGTTCAGTTTATATAATTCTTAAAAATATTAAACAATGTTACAGTATCTCTAATAATCAATCTATTTGGAAAAATCGAACATTTCATTACGGTACGGGAAGCTCCAGCAATTTGCCTTAAGGCACGATATCAAACACCACTAGTTTCAAGTTAGATTCACCAGATGGGTTCGTTAGATTCACCAGGGTAGGATTGAAAAGGACCAACTGAACCTTTACCTTGGCAAAGGTATAAGCAATGAAAATGGTGATAAAAAAGTGAATTAAGTTAAAGAAAGCAATTTTACAAAAGATAAATTAAATCATTCCATCAATGTTATGTACGTTATATTTTTTACAATGATCACACTTTGCAAAAAAAACGTCCATGAAAATTATATGTCGCATTGGTTCAATAATGTTCGTATTATTATGTTTTATACCTTTGATATTAAAAAGAAGATAATTATAAATTAACTGGAATTTTCACTGAACATAATTTGATAGTTACTTGTTAAACAATGATATGTGTTGTGTATTGTGATGTATTACATATGGTATTATAGACTGTATAATTCCTAAAAGTCAAATTGCATTCGTATTGGACACGAGTGAAAAAAAGATTTTTATTTTACAAAATAAATTATTTTGCACAACATGTCGCAGAATTCAGTTTAAAAATAGTTTAAAATAGGTGAGCGTTTTGATAAGTTGAAAATTCTTTTTTTAGCAAAGAGATTAATCAAAATTATGATTTCTTGATCATAATTATTTATTAAAATTAAATGATAAATAACGTCATCTAAAACGTATTAGATTTTTTTTACTCTGCTCAATCGGAAACAAAAATATGTATATGTATATATACACCTACGTAATATGAATTAGTAAAAATAGTTAAAAATTAATTCAATTTCTATAGATAACTACCACCAACTTTGAAAACTAAATATATAATATTCTACGTAGCTTTCTTTGAAAACTTCATTTTCAATGCAACACGTACTCCGTTTGTGTAAAGTTGCTCTTCACAATTATTTTTGTATTAAAAATGCAGCAATAATATGAATTTCTAAGTTTTAATTTAAAACAAATCAAAAGTAATTACAAGTTTTATTAAAACTTTCCAAGAAAAGTGCGAACTTCATGGTAGTTCTTGCTGCCTGTATAGTGTTTGTAATGTAGTAATATGATATAATAATTCATATAAAAATTTATCAAATTTTGTATTTATTTCCTTCACTAATTATGAAAGTACTATATTACACTGTTTGGTTAAACTGTAAACTATAAGTTACATAGGTGAGAATATCTATTCATTTAATTTATGTAAGAATCTCAGGTGTATTATTAGAAATTCCTCTTTACGAAACTTGAAGCCCCATAGCAACATTCAAGAAGCTTTTCATTTTGTCTAAGCTGTGAAACAAGGCATTGCTTTTACTCATTGTCAAGGATAACTCGGGCACGTGCGCCAAAATATACGTGATAATATGAAGTGCTATAAAAAGAATCATCATTTTTTATCATTATACCGACTCTAATGTCAATTTTATATAATAAAAATTTCAGACTGCTAGATATATGAAGCTTCGGAATAAAATAATTGATATACGTGACGTATTCTAAGATATAGATTAGAAATATATTAAATTTGTTCTTATATCGATCATTCACTTACGATAATTACTGCAGATGATCCTTTATATACATACTATCTACTACACACAAGTTTTTGTTTACTTAATTATGTTTAAAGCACGAATTAAATAATTTTTATACGTTTTATAACTTTTGTGATGTGAAAACCTTAAAGTACGAGTCAAGCGCTTATCATTAAGATAACTTGTTCGTCTCAAACTACACTGAATAAACCCTAACTATTTGTTGAATACTCTGTAATTGAAGGATGCCTAGATAGTTTCCAACTTTTGCACAAATACGCATGTTGTACGCAGACTTTACGAACTAACTTTGAATAGCGTAAATTTATATCATTTTCAGTTTTCACTAATAGGAGAATGATTATAGTTTAGGTTCCAAAGCTTGAAAGCTCTGCTGCCGGTGGAGCGATCTGGTAGTTTTTAACTGCCTTCATATTAAATTTTGTCGATTAAGAAAATCTTCGATTATGGTCAGCATTAAATGTGTTTAGTTTATCAATGTTATATATAGTAATATATTCAATAAAATGGTTAGAAAACTCTAATATTTTGTGAAATTTGGCCGCAAAGGTCACATAGGAATTTATATCAGTGTTTCATTTGGTATATAAATTATCACTTAAATTTCCATGAAGATTTCTATTAAATGTACAGGTGAACATGAAGAATAATAAAGATTACAAAAGAGTTTAATTTTGAAATAAAGCGTCAAGTTCCGACTATAAAGATATACGACTGAGATTGCTGCACGGTTTATGATAATATATTAATGGCAACAGGTAACGTTTTACATAAAGGTTTAAGCAGTTTAATACTGAGAGTCATATATAAATTATTTTTTCTAATTATTTATAATTAATTATTTATTTATTTTAGTACTTCAAGCATGGTTTTAATTGTATTCCGGCTACTTTTTTACAAATAATGGATTTCAATTTCAATAAAAAATGAAGCCAATTAATAATTCATCTGCATTAATTAATAATTCTCGGTAATAGCCTTTACACATTTCCAATGACTTAATTTGAATATCGCTAAACTATTCGATATAATTTTAAATTTATGCAGAATGAATAGCATAAAATGGAATTACTGGAATTCGCAATTATCATAGTTTTAGCGTTTTACTGTAATCAGACCAAGTGGAAAATTATGACTGAAGTGCATTTCATACATTTTGAAACGAGAGGCTTTAATATTATAATTTTGCGAACGCGAATCTTTATTACGTTTTAAATATAGTATTTTGTAAGTATTTAAATTATGGTTTACATTATCGTTAGTATATTTATCTATTTAATTTTGTTTTTACTCATATTACTTAATTTTGTTTGTTATATTGTATTCACATACATTATTTATTATGAGCCAAAATGGCAATGAAATAAAATGTAATATTATTTTGATATAATACATATACATTTTTATTATGTAATACGTAAATATAGAATGTAATATTTCAAAAATGTAATCTTTCGCGATTGAAATGGAATATTGTTTCGTACTGTTTTCATGAATATATACAACTTGGCACTCCGTGAACTTTTACATTATTACAAATATATACGCATGCCTTAAAAAGAATAAGAAAAATTTGCAAATAAAATGCTTCTCACATAGAAAAGGTGAAACGTTGCACGTAGCAAAATCGAAATGCCATAAATAAGATGTCGAAAAATGATTCATTATCAGATAAACTCTTACAGCGGAAAATTCTTGACTTTCTACCTTAGCATATATTGGAGATTACTATCCTTTTGAAATTTATCATGTATTCGTAAAAAAAATACTGACTAACTTTAGGAATATTAAATGCTTTTTAACTTCCCTTAGGGTAATTAACTTTCCGTATGGTAAGTTATTGTAATGGGCCGAAAATCGGAATTGAAAATTTTTACATTTCTCGACGTTTTGAAGGTTTCTGAACATTTTGGCATACCTCAGAAAAAATAGATGTGTGTGTGTGTATGTATGTATGGATACAATTTTTCGTCCACGTTTTCGGGCGTACGGATCAACGGATTTGAATAGTTCAAAAAGCATTCGATTCCTATTGGTGAGCAGATGTGCAGATTAGGTTTTGGCAAAGGCAGGTCCAGCAGTTACGGAGATAAAGAGCAAAGAGTGCAGCAAATAGAAATCGAGTTTTTGAGAGAACGGAGCATCCGATTTGAATGATCTAAAAATTCAATTAGTAATGATTGGGAGAAGTAGATTTTAGTTTTTTGCATAGGCAGGCCCAGCCATTTCGAAGATACGAAGCTAAATGTACAAAAAATGGCAGTTTTTGAGAAAACTAAGCGTCCAATTTAATTGATTCAAAGAACTTTCTACTTATCTTAACAAAATAATGTATTTTGAAAAAAAATTTTGTTTCAACTTTTTTTTTTTTTAATTTTTTGTATATCGAAAATAATTCAGATTTAATTTTAAATCTGACTATAGTTCTAATATACTTTACAAATAATTTTAACTTTGCAATTCAGTTTATATAACTCTTATAAATATTAGACAATGTTACAACAATATTTATAATAATCTATTTGAAAACATTCAGTATTCCTGGAATATTTCGTTACGGTACAGCAATTTGCCTTAGGGCACGATGCCACCCACCCCACTAGTTCATTAATTGATTAACAAGATTGCTATAATTACTTTCAATTTTTTTATCTACGACTATTTATAATTTGTGGTGGTATTATATGAATATTGAGATTCCTGTACTCTTTAATAAATGTCTGCATATATTTTCATAATAATAGAGAACATGTTGTAAACATAGAGTAGGTAAAACAATATGTAGTTCATAAGTTTAATTTTCCTAGAATAATATATGAAAAATTTGATTTTCATAATGTAAAACGATTTTAGTGAAATAGACCATATGTGATATTTTATTCGCAAAGCATAAAAAACTATAGCATGACAGACAACTTCATATATTTGCTTGCATGATATGAATATATTGATTGACGTATCATATATTCAAAATTTTAAATAAAAAAGGTATTTGAAATTCAAATTCATGAACTATGAAACCGAAACGATTTTTTATGGATAGAGAATTCTTAATTCAAGCTTATTTATATATTAATATAAATAACACTCACTAGACATATTTTTAAAAATGAAAAATTTATTTTAATTATTTACACATTTTAAATTTTTTCCACTTCATTGTCATTAGTGTTTTGTGATTGTTGCGCAGAAGTTTGATTGAATTTTTATTAATATCAATATTTTTTTTACATATCTCAGATAATATATAAAACCTGAATGATACGATGCTTATCTTACTAAAATGGTTCCATGAAAAACGCACTCACAAAACTAAAATTGATGTACATATATTGAAAGTCAGGATTTCATTTATAACCTACTTCATAGAGTTTTAACGCAATTTTTTAAAATAGCATTCTTAACAAAATGATGAAAAAGCTAAAATTCATCATTCTGCTGATCTAAAAGTAAGATATTGTTGTATTAACAATCCATCATCTAAGTTTCCGTTTTATCAAAGAATCGATTTATTATTCTTGAGATGAATACGAAAATGTTTGTGACATAATAATCTATCATGATTCATCATATAGATTACGAAGCGTAATTGTTCTACTATATATATATATATATATATATATATATATATATATGTGTGTGTATATGTATATAAACAATATGTTATTTCATAATTTTTTATTAAAATATTTTCAATTCACTATTGTAAAATAAATTAAATAATCAAGATATATCTCAAATTTTTAACATTGCAAAATAAATAAGCTCTAACTCAATATTTATATAATTGCGTAGCAAATCCATAATTAATAGTCAATACAAGAATGAATTTTATGCAATTTATAATTATCATTTATTTTAGTTTAATAGAGATAAACCTTTATGTAAAACTAACTTGAAATTTTTAACGAGCGCTTATAATTCATCAAGTTAGTTTTTTATATGTCCGGCAATTATTTTTGCTTTAGCAGAATATTTACTTAGTAGGTAACAACTTTCTATAACTTGGGATATAGTATGCAAAGTTTGAATACCGCTGCTATACTGTTTATTGTATGCATTTTGTATAATTAAACACAGAAAAAACTGCACGTTTTACAAGTTCAATTAGTACTTATTGTCCCATGTATTTTTAAAAGTCTCATTTATGCAGTCACAGAAAATATGCTGCATGTTTTTAAACCCTGGAGATTAAAATAAAAACTATATTCGACACCTGTGTACCCGCGTGTATCTTCAAAATTTAATAACTGCATGCAATTTGTATAATAAAGTCATGCATGATAACGCTATTTTGTAAAAAAATCATGTATAAATTATATTTGCCATATAATTTTAAAAAAATGACAAATAAAATTCATGTCGTCAATGAATAATTGCAAATTTAATTCTCTCTTTCTTCATAGAGCTTTGTGTTATTTAAGCGTAAATTACATTACAGATTTTAATTAGTAATTATATCTTCTACGTGATGCTCTCTGACGAAAAGTTAATTAGTCGCTCCGGTAAATGTGATTTCGAATTTCGTTGAAAAGATTATGAAGGTAATAATTGATTTGGAATTGAAAATTCAGTAAAATCACATTTGAAATTGTTATTCCAGAATAATTTATATATAGAAAACTCGCTCGATTTTCGTATTTGAAATTAACATTATATTTTTACTTCTATAGTTGTTCAAAACATTCTATATAATTATTTGAATATTTAGATTAATTTGTAGGTGAACTCGAGTTTGATATTATCGCCAAGATGAAATATATTTGAATAATTCCACTCGAGTTTTTGTAACAAAGTAATTCAAAATTTTTGTAACAAAAAACTCAATTTAAGTAGAAATATATCTTGGAGAATATCCTGTGCATATTACAGTTGGTTTTTGCACCAGTTTAGGAAAATAAGTCTTGACATGATATATTATTCACATTACTCTAATTTTTTAATTATGTTATTTTAATGTCAAGATATAAATGTGAAAACTCATAGAAAAAGCTCTGTTAATTAAGAAAATAATAAATAGTGCGATGAATAACGAACGCTGCAATTGTTGCACAAGATTTATAGATACAATATTTTGTGTTATTTAAAAATGTGTTTTTAGCAATCATGAGAAAAAACTTATTCGAGGACAAAGAAGTTTCAAAATAAATGGTTAAGTATTTGCATTTACTAAAATCATTTGATTGTAGCTTTATTACTTCTGATATTAAGTGCTTTATAAATTAAGTACAAAATACCATATTATACTAATTGATCGTCATTTTTCCATAAAAAGAATTTTTGTATCGTTAAACACTGCCCGTTGACGTGAACTGAAATTATTTATTGACGTGAATAGAAAATTCCATGAATTTAATTAAAACTTATAAAAAACATTTTTGTAGGCTTTGTTATTATAGAAATGACAGGCTTGTTACAGAAATATTGAAAAAATGTGAATTGCAATGGCTCTTGATTGAAGTATTATAATAGCAAAATATTTCATTAGCGTTTTTATCTATCGAGTAATAATCCAACTTCTAAATATGAATATTCATGTATATATGAATATTAATTACTTGATTTTTATTATCGATCTTTAGTAGACTACTGCATAGTGTTTTTGTACAATATATAGGGTAGGGTGAGACATACAGTTCCAATTTGAATTTTAGTACAAAACGGGTATCAAACAAAAAACTATCGAACTATGTTCAGTGAAACGTCCCAGTTAACTCCTAATTATAGAAATGTTTTTTTCTACTATTTTTCTGAAATTTGTTATATTTCATATGCCATTTTCGTCCAATTATCGTCTCTACATTATTTAACCAATATGAAATACAAATGTTATGGAAACTTTTTACAAAGTTGTTTTGTAAATAATCTTGATCTGGTATTTCAATATTCATCAGCAGAAAATGAATAACTATTAATTTAATTTACCTTTTATAAAATTGCTTTTCAAATTTAATATACGTTTTTTTTACTACTTTTTATTGTTTACACCCTTGCCAACGTAGGTGGTGCTTTTTAATCCACACGCATATAATATTTTGTAGAGGTTATATAAAACAAATGGTTCAATTTAACATAAAAATAACAATACATCTTACAAATCAAATAAATAATAAATAGCTAAACATTATACTTAGATATCATCAATAACTAAATGAAAAAACACAAATCCAAAAAAAACTACCAACGAAAAAAATACTTTTGGTATAAACATTGATACTTTTTTGTTTATCTTCTTATATGAAGATTTCTACTTTTGTCTTCTACTTTAAAATAGTATAATTGAAAAAATCTATACTTTGCCTGTTTTTGAGAAAATGATGGTGGATCTTTTTACCCGCGGAGCTTTAAGCTCTGCTCTATCTATGGATTATGGATATTATTAACGAATTAAAGGTATGCGTTGCTATGCAGAAGTTAAAACAAAGGTTCCATATTATGGTTCGAGTTAAATATCCATTTCAAGTTGTCTCAGCCCAAAAAAAACATCTCAAGTTCAACTCATCTAACTATGTAATTTATCTGTCTTGCCTGAGGATAAGATCACAGAGACACAAAAAAATTCTTTGAGATTTTATTCTAATCAACTCACCATTATAATTGCTGTTGATGAAGCCGACTTTGCCGGCCATACGCCCGCCGACGGGCATCTTGCCTTCGTCTTATTTCTTCTTATCCCTTGTAAACGTAAACTTTGGTGAGAAATGATCCAGGTTACTGTAAGGGTTGGCTTTTAGAAGTTCACAGGTTCTGAAAACAAAGTTTGGATTAATTGCTTGCCCTCGTTATATCTTCTTACATGGATGCGACATAATTAATAGGATCTATTACGGCTAATAGTTACCCTATATAATAGTATTTGTAATATGAAGACAGTTGGGATGCTTGATGTAATTACTTAATATATTGGGAAATATAAATTATTTTCAATCATATCGTATAAAGTTTTGAGCTACATTTATATATTACATGTGAAAAATAAAAAATAATAAATTGTAAATATAAATTAAATTTGATAATCACATATTAGGAAAAAAAAAATTACACGTTTTTATTTTTTATTTTTCACATATAATATATAAATGTAGCTTGTTTTCTAAATATTTTCTTATAATATTTTACAAAAAAATATTATTATCAATGATAAAAATTTCAAAGCTTTTGCTTGTGGTTTAAATGTTGCAGTTTTTTATTATATAAAAAACTTTTTTATATCAATTTTGTATTCATTTTTGAATTCGATATCTTAATTCCAAAACTTGACTTCATGTTAAAACGCGGAAACAAGTTGTTTAGAGTGTTTAGACACTTTCTTTCCATTAAAAGCTGTAATGAAATAATAATAATATTTACTTCAACAATATTAATAAATTAACTGTAATAATATTAATTATATTAATAACTTAACGATTTTTAAGAAGGTGAAAAACTTCGACCTATTTGTATTGTTGGTAAAAATGTACAATTTGCTGATGTAGACTGTTCAGATACATGGAATGGAATGGAAAATTTATATCATAACTCAAACATAATATTTAGTTTTAAAACTAGGTGTTTCAAGCTTCAATTCAAACCAATAATTGAAGAGATTGTTAAATAATTCCAAGTTTAAACCTGTTACAAATCAGGAAAGTTATGACTAAATAAATTATTAATCTATATTTTCCTTATTATATTATTATTTTTTGAATTAACTTTAATAATTTTCATAAGATGAACGAATATATTTGAATAGCTAGTATGTATCCAATAAATTCATGCATTTGTTTCTACTGTTTTGGTGTAGTGCATTAATACAGCGTCTCTTCAAAATATTATTTTGCAAAAATTTATTTTTGTTCGAATATACTCATAAATTCTGTAATATTTGTTTGTTGTTTCAATATTGATTTTATTACAATTTTTTCATTATATTAAAAAAAATTACTTTGTTATATAGAGTCAATTATATTGGATGGATGAATAAATATGGATTTTTAAATTGTTATTACATAACTGATAAAATTCATATAAATGGAACATATATCTTTATCCAATATTATGTATGTATAATTACATTTTATATATATATATATATATATATCTTCCTCATTATATTTTTCAAGAAATGTAATATTATATTCAGATATACAATATTTCATTATTTCATACTTGACCTAAAAATAACTACATAAATTGCCTTAGTTACTTATTGGATTTCATGAAACATGAGTTTTAATACTGACATTTGAATTCCCTAAGATATATTGAGAATTCAATATTCCTCTGGTTGTCTTGAAAATGCAATTTTTATACCACAATTCAATTCTACTATAATAGTAATACTAATATTATATCAATAAAGAATTAGCTTTCAGATTTGAATGATAAAAAAGCATCTATTTTATTTGCATCATATTTAAATTAAATCAATATTGAACGGTTGCAAGTTGCAACCTTTTTATTGTTTTTGACATTCAACCTTCGCATTTGAACCTTCATATTTAAATTATATTAATCGCAAATATATATTTATACTCGTTTTTAATATATTCATATAATTTGTATTTACCTATATAATATAAAATATAAATTTATATGTACCTCTTAATCAGATGTTTTGTAAACAGTTTTTCTAATTGTTATTCATTAAATATTATTCGAATAAGAGCACTCAGACCACTTCCAAATTCTAGAACTCATAAACAAAATTTATCAAAATAAATATAGTCATTTTGTGTATTCTTCCTTGTTTGAGTATTGAAAACAATAAATCTCATAGCTAATATTTTATTTCATGCATTTGAAAATGTATAAAAGGAATGCAACCTCAATAAAAAGTGCTGACTCAAAATCGTGAAAAACACTAAGACTATTATCTATATGGTGTTCCTAAAATGCGTTTTAGCTTCAGTAAAATTCACCCGTTTATTAAAGGTACATTGTGAACACTTTGTTACAAGAAATTTCTTTATGTAGGGCGAACGTGGATCGTTTCAAAGTAACAGATAGTTCATCGCACATAAAAAGCGAGTTCGCCTGGGTCGAGGAATAAAACATTACTCCGCTTTTTTATGTCTTTTATCATATACGTCGAAGCAAATTGTGCGGTGTCCTTATTTGCTACCCCGGGTCAAATAAGTGAATAAAAGTGTTAGGCTGGAAATTTATTGGGGTTTCGAAGTGATGAAATGCGATGAATACAATCGGAATTCCGAATATTTTGCGTCCCTACAGATATTGGTAATTGCGATGGTTTACATGGGTTTATGTTAAATGATATTAGTTCATATTTACCCAAATTTTTATGCATATTTATATACGTATTTTTTGCAAAATTTACAAAAAATTACTGGCAACATTTTGATTATAGTATTTAGTCCCAATACTTAATAATTTCGTAATACATTCTTTTCTTTCTTCTTAATAAGAAGAAGTTTAATGCTAATTATTAACTTCCCGTAGGGTAAAATATTCTAATAGTCCGAAAATCGAAATGGAACATTTTTGCATATCTTCACTTCGTTTTGCAGGTTTCTGAAAATTTTAGAATACCTTAGAAAAAATTGATGTGTGTGTATATGTATATTGATACAATTTTAATCCACGTTTTCGGGTGCACGGATAAACCGATTTGAATCGTTCAAAAAGCATTCGGTTCTTATTGATAGGGAAATGTGCCGATTGGTTTTTGGCAGAGGCAGGTCCAGCCGTTAAGGAGATACGAAGATACGAGTGGTAAATGTACAAAAAATGTCAGTTTATAAAAGAACTAAGCATTCAATTCAAATGATTCAAAAAACTTACTGCTTGTTTCAACAAAATAATTGCTTTTAGAAAAAAAATGTTTCAATTTTTTTTTCAATTTTTCTGAACATCGTGACATTACATCCATATAAATTTTAATTGTGTCTGAAGTTCTAAAGCTCACTTATATGCTTTAAATAAATAATTATAACTTTGTAATGCAGTTTATATAATTCTTAATAATAAACATTAGAGAATGTTACACTATATATAATAATTTATTTGAAAACATTTAATATTCCTCAAACATTTCGTTACGCTGCGGGAAGTTCCAGCAATTTGCCCTAAGACTTGATGCCATACACGACTAGTTTGAGATTAAATTTCAATAAATTTTTAAGATTTATGAAAAATAATTTTTATTTTTTATTGAAAGCGCTCAAATAGGTATTGAAAAGTAGATCTTTTTTCTGCAACATAGTAATAAACCTTTTTCATTGTCTTATTTTTTACCATTATTTTTGAAATGTTGTTACTTTTACAAGTAGTAAAACACCGTAAGAAATCTCAGATAACTCAATTAATCCAATAATAGTTTCGGCAACTCGATGTGTTTGAAATTGAATCATTCTCTACGTGCAAAGATTATGTTTCGAGGAAAATTCTGAGAATAATACATTTCCAATTCCTTTGTTGATGTTAGGCGGTACATTTTCTGATAATGATGTGATATCCCGTTTCTCTCTAGTTAATTACGAAAGTAATTAAATTCAAGAGAAACCTAACAACAGGTCATTGATTACATGGGAAATTGCGTCATTAAGTTCTTTGACATTTTTTTAACATAATTTATAAAATGCTTTATAAATGTTTTATAATATCATTTTAAAACATAATATATTACGAAACTTTCCGCTTTAAATTGAAAAAATTCGTAGTACCAATGTAAAATCTATTTCAATTGCTGAATTAAATCAACTTATAATAGCATAAAATAAACTCATTTTACAGTCTTTGCTAAAATATTGATCAAGAATATAATAGAATCATTTATGATTAATTCTTTTATCTCATATAATAATTTCGTATATAAAAATGTCCGAAGACAACGTTTAACTGACTGTCGTAGAGAAAATAAATGCGCGTCAATCATAATATCAAGTGTCAAATGCGAGTTTATGACGTTTCATATAATGCTTTCGAAGGATATCCTTTCATATATCCTTCAAAGGAAAATTAAGGTTTTGTCAAAGCATCTTGATAGAACATTTTATTAAATTGATAACATTTTTCTATAGAAAGAATTCAATGAATAATTTAGTAAAATTGCTGCGTAAAGTGTGAACTGCATAAAACATAAAAAATTATTTATTTTACTCCGGGATAATTATTAACTTCCAATAGGGTAAGTTATAATAATCTAAAAAAATTATTTTTTTTATAACTTTACGTTTTGCAGGTTTCTGAACATTTTGACATACCTTAGATAAAATGGATGTATAAGTGTATGTGTGTGCAGAAACAAATTTTTATCGACGATTTTGTGAACACGGATCAATCGATTTGAATAATTAAAAAAACATGTGATTCGTATTGTAGGGAAGACGTGATGACTAGTTTTTGTCAAGGTCAGGCCCAACTGTTTTGAAAACAGTGGGGGGAAAACAGTGCCAGAAATGACGATTTAGTTTTCGAGAGAACCGAAGCTGATATTCATATATATTAATTTTGATTTATTTTATGCACTATTATGGTCAGTAACTAAAGTCAAAATTTAATTAACCGAAGGATTTAATTTTTTATTTGTACTTTATAAAAAATATTGAAATAGCTATATTTTTAGTATATTGTTAATATATTTTGCTGTTCTGTCTAACTATGCCTTAGCAACAAAAAAATCTTATTTTTTGTTCTAGATTTTACA